CTTATAGTCAGAAAGGTAGTTAGCGTAGTCTCAATGGAAAAGGCGAGTGTGAATATGAAAGGATGGGAGAAAGAGGCCGTTTATTTCATATTTCCCTAACTTCAAGGAACTTGTTCTATCCAATGGCCACACTAAGCGCCTAGATCGGCTTCCCCCATTATTCCACTCTGAGTGAAAACAAGAGTCATCATTTGGTCTAGGGGGTTACGGTGAGTCAACATTTAAGAAAATATTGGTCTCTAAAAGCGAATTTAGTTTCCACTTACTTAAAATCCAAGAGATTGCTCAACTGAATTGGTCAAGTTGATGGGGTTAAGTAATGTAGCCGTTTCACAGAAAGTTTATATTTTTATCAAATGTCAGGTTTTAGGATAGATGTCATTAGCCTCTTAGCTGACGTCGGGCTTCACAGGGGGGGAGAGGGAGAACAGAAGAGTGATTCATAGATGCAAAAGAGACAGCAGATACAAAGGCAGAGAAAAGGTAAGGTGAGTACTGTGAAAGTTGTCGAATAAGACAAACAGTCGGGTCATGGTAATTTGAAGTCAGAGGTCAACTGCCGTTACATAGTATTTTTTGCCGTATGAGTATACGCTGCCCAGGGTGCACCACTTGGATGTAAGTCTATTGCTCACCCCACACCCTAGAAAGTTGATATAGTTTTTTCCATTTTTCGTTTAATGCTTAGAAGATTGATACCCTCTCCAATATTTATCACCAACTGCAGTATGCTTTGAGGGTTGTGGTAATTTGAATTGCAAAATCTCGGCGAATAATAGTCGCTTTGATTTTTCTCCATCTTACATTGATAGGCTTGACAGACCTGAAGAATATCGAGAGTGAATGCTAGTGCCTTCGATGGGTTCTAAATTCAAGGTTTATTTTGACATACACTGTGGAGATTGCGTGATGGTCGGGTTTGATAACAAATTAGTGGCGCGCTCTTCTTAGGAGTGCTCACTCATACAAAATTCCACCCATAAAGAGTGTGTTTACTGCAGATACACCCATCTCACATCATATAAAAGCAGCTCCGTTTAGCAGATAAGCTCAATTTCGTGATTACCACTTTAGTAAGCATGACAGACTCATCTGCGTCAATTAACACGATTGACTCGAAAATCTACAGCCATGGTCCGGAATGGTATGCCAAGTACCGACGATTTATTCATCGCTCCGCGGATAAAATTCGACTGACAAATCATCCCATTATAACCCAACTCATAGCAGAAACTTTGGGAACAATCGTTCTAATCTTCTATGGTGATGGTGCTGTAGCACAGAAATTTTTCTTCAATTCTAAATTCCTGGAAGTTAGTGTCGGTTGGGGTGCTGCAGTAACGATGGGAATCATCATCAGTGGTGGAAAAGCTTCTCCAGCTTACTTGAATCCTGCTGTAGCAGCGGCGAATTCGGTGTTGGGTACACTACGATGGTCCCTCCTTCCTCTGTATCTAATTCTTGAAGTTCTTGGTGGTTTTCTCGGAGCTGGCCTTCTACTTGCAGCATACAATGAAGACATAATTGAGTACACGAATGAATTCGATAACGGAAAGTTCTTATTAAATTCAACTGGGGGAATTTTTGTTGCTGGAAAGGGTTCATCAGTGGGAGTTGCCGTAGCTGATCAGATTATCACAACTGCTATTCTAATGATAGGTATCTTGGCAGTGGGTAACAATCAACTTGTTAAAAAACCGGGCGATGCTGTTCCTATTCTTGTCGGAATGGTAGTCTATTTGGGTGTTGGTACTTACACCGCAAATGCCAGTTCTGCACTGAATCCTGCTCGAGATCTAGGCCCCCGATTACTTCTCCTTGCAACACGTAAGATCACTATCGATCGCCGTTTATAAGAGTTATCTAAATTGAAACGCAACCTCTGTTTTGCCTTCTTTGCAGATTGGGGAGTTGAGGCATTTACAGTCGATAACTACTACTTTTGGGTACCGGGTTTGATGCCAATTATCGGCGCCATCCTGGGAGCAATAATCTACGAGCTTCTTGTTGGAATCCACACCAACAGAGCCGGTTACTATCTTACTGAAGAAAGTGAACCCGTCGAAGATACTGAATCCAGACCAACTTCCGAAAAGAGTCCACCAAGCTACACATCGCACACCCCTACCAAGGCTATTCCTTGAACATCAACCCACATTCCTTTTATACAACAGCCTTATCATTTTGCGTTGACATTTTGTACACACTTGATATTTTTATTTATTTATCAAAAAATGGCAGGCGTTTTGATGGTTATCATTAGCAATTTAGTTGAAGAGTGTTTCAAAGATGTAAAAGAAACAGACACAAAGGTAGACAAAAGGGTCGAATATGGGCCTCACAGATTGGAGGTACATCAAAGTGACAAAAAGTCGAGAGGGGGGGGGGAACCGAATAATGATTCAGATGTAAAAGAGACAGGCACGAAGATAGAAAAGGTAAGATGAGTACTGTGAAAGGGATCGAATATGACACAGTCGGGTCATGGCAGTTTGAAGTAAGAAGTCAGCTACCGATAATAAATATTGGTCTCTAAAAGCGAAGTTGGTTTTCACTTACTTAAACCCCAAGAAATAGCACGACTGAATTGGTCAAGATGAAGGAGTTAAGTAATGTCGCCATCTCACAGATAGTTGTCAGTAGCCTCTTAGCTGACTTCGGACTTCACAGGGGGGAGGGGTTACAGAAGAGTGATTCATAGATGTAAAAGGCAGAGAATAAGAAAGATAAGTACCGTGTCGAATAAGACATACAGTGGGGTCATGGTAGTTCGAAGCCAGCTGACGTTTATATACTTTTTCGCTGCCCAGGACGTACCAAATGGAGGTAAGTTTATCGCGCATCCCGTGATATTTACATAAAATCTATTAAATTAGGACCACACAGTCCGATTAACTTAAAAACCTGAATAACCGGACTAGACACAACTTAAGATAAATTAATGCGAACTTCCTGTGTCCGGCGCTTAGATAGAAGAAACAGATAATAATCTACTTTTGTATTATTAACACAAGTGGAGACTACAATTATCAGGCATATAAAACTATATCATACAACTAATTATGTGTCGGGAAGGGATTCATGACCTCACGTTACAAGTGAAGGGAAAAGGGGATAGATATGATTTACATCATACCTCCCATACCGCCCATACCACCCATGCCGCCTCCCATGCCGGGCATTGGGTTATCCTCCTTAGGAATGTCACAAACAACTGTCTCAGCCGTCGTCAAGAGAGACGCAACACCAGCAGCATCGACAAGGGCAGTGCGGACGACTTTGGTTGGATCGATAATACCAGCAGCAATCATGTCAACGTACTTGTCGTTCATTGCATCATACCCCTCATTCTGAGACAAGCCAAGAATCTTTTGAACAACGACTGACGCATTGACTCCAGCGTTATGAGCAATTGTATAAGTTGGTTGCTCAAGAGCCTTCTTAACAATATCAATGCCTGAAAATATGAAGTTATGGTTAGACCAATAAAACACACTACTAAAGAATGGAGAGTAGACAAGGGTTTACCGATTTGCTGATCCTGATTCTTTACTTCGATTTTGTCTAGAATAGAAATACATCTCAGCAGAGCGGTACCACCACCGGGAACAATACCCTCCTCAACAGCAGCACGAGTTGAGTTGAGGGCATCCGTATAACGGTCCTTCTTCTCAGAAACCTCGACCTCACTGCTGCCACCGACTTTGATAACAGCGACACCGTTAGAGAGCTTAGCAAGGCGTTCTTGCATCTTCTCTTTTTCGTAGTCGCTAGTACTAACACTGATTTCATCACGAATCTGCAAAATACGTTTTTGAATATCGTCCTTATTGCCCTCTCCACGCATTAAAAGAGTGTCATCCTTAGTGATAACAGCTTCAGCAACACGTCCAAGGTCATGGAGTTGAACATCTTCAAGTTTGTACATATCAGCATCATCACCAAAGACCTAAAAATCATAAAAATTAAAGAAATTGCTCGAACATACCACACCACCAGCTGCAATAGCCATATCACGAAGGGTATTTTTTCGATTGTCACCAAAACCAGGAGCTTTCACGGCACAAACTTGCAACCCAAGTTTAAGACGATTAAGCACAAGAGCAGTTAAAGCTTCACCTTCTACATCCTCAGCAATTATAACAAGAGGTCTTTTTTGTTGGTGAACCATTTCTAACACAGGAATGAGAACTTGAATGTTATTGATTTTTTTCTCTGAGAAGAGAATGTAGGGATTCTGAAATTCGCAACGAGCTCCCTTTTCAGTATTTATGAAGTATGGGGAGATGTAACCGCGGTCAAACTTCATACCCTCGATATATTCAATCTCATCGACCAGAGTTTTACCATCCTTAACAGTGATGGTTCCGTCATTTCCAACACGCTTCATAGCGTCTGAGATAAGTTCACCAATGGCTGTGTCTCCATTAGCTGAAATTGTTGCAACTTGAGAGATTTCTTCTGGCGTAGTGACAGGCTTTGACATTTCCTTCAAGTGCTTGACAACGGTATCAACTGCCAACATGACTCCTCTACGGAATTCAATAGGGTTTGCTCCCTTACTGATTTTTTCGAAGCCCTCCTTTGCAATGGCACGTGCAAGAACGGTCGCGGTAGTTGTACCATCACCGGCTTCTTCGTTTGCATTATTAGCAACGTCTTGAACAAGTTTAGCTCCGATATTCTGGAATTTATCCTTAAGCTCAATGCCTTTAGCAACAGTAACACCGTCTTTTGTGATCTTGGGAGAGCGCCATTGGCTTTCCAGGATGACATTACGACCCTTGGGACCCATAGTTACTGCTACAGCATCAGCAAGAATATCTACGCCAACGAGCATTGAAGCACGAGCTTCGGCACCGAATTTCACATCCTTGGCCGCACCCCGAATAATATTCTTGCAAAAGGAGCCCAAACAACGAGACGAAGCTGATGCACGCAACATGCTTTTATCACGATTTCTAGAATGAAACTGATGCGCTAAAACAATGGCAATATGAACGAAGACTGGCCTTAAAACTTCTCAGTTAAAAATCTCGGTAATTAGATAGATAGCAATGGTTTTAAAATATTAATTCAATTAAGATGTTAGTTTTTTATTTCAATATGAATTATTTTAAACGTTATGTATATATATATATATGTATGTATGTGTATAATCCATAATGCTATTAATTAACCAAGTAAGTACCTTAATTATTCTTGCCTTTGCGAATATCTTTCTTATTTGTATCTAAAATACGTTAATTAACTTAATATTCGCTTTTAAATTTTGGTGCGATTCCACAATCTTAAATACTTATGCAGAGTTTGGCAAAAATTGAATAATACTTCAATGTTTTGCACTAATCTACATTAAACTAAACCCATACCTAGCACGAAATATTGAGAAAATCACGATTACTCTGTACACAAACGTTTTATTGTTATAGACTGAAGCATTCATAAAATATATTAATGCAATATTATAGTATGTATTATAAGCAAAATGTGACTAATTTCACAGCATAAAACGAAGTTACTTTGCCTATTTTAACTCTCATCTGGATTTCCACAAGATTTTATTACTCAATTAAATATCGAAAGGGAAGATAACCGTAACTAATTGCTGAATTATTTTTGGGTTGACCGTTTAGTGATAAATCAAGAAAAATATTTCTTAATGCTTTAGCCTTGACCGAATATTTTATTTCAAACCGAAAGTAGGATTTCACCTCCATGTTTAGCCATTGTCTCTGCCTTACTACATAATTAATGAAAAACTATGCCTATAAGTGTCTGTGCAACTGGAACAGTGATTGAAGTCATTTATTTGAGTTATGTTCAGCCTTTTCACCTTTTATTGAAAAGATGATAATAAAATAAATAATTGAGAATTTTCAGAGATGCTTCTGTATTTGGTTTATCGATCTCCGAAACAAAATTTGCCTAGGTAAATCTTTAAATCTGAAATTGTTATATAAATCAACTCAGGTACAGTCGAACATTGCTTTTATGCTTAGCAATGTATATCAATGTTTGCCAAATTTTCTTAGCCAAATATCAAAAAAATCTATTTGTCTTGTATTGGTTTCCTGTGTCGTACAAAAATAATTAATATCAGTGTTTAAAGCAACAATCTTTGAAGATCTCATACTTTAACAATAATCCAATAGCATTTAATGAAGATCACATTTATCTAGACCCAAGAATATGTCCATAGAGGAATCTTTATATGACGAAAGGTAATTTGCTTCGAACGAATCACAACAACAGCCTTTAACATCAATACTACTGAAGATTCCAACTTCAGAAACATAAAAAATTACCTTTGAAAATGGAGTGTAAATGGTGTTTTGGCACTTTATCGGCAATCAACCGAATTGTTCGTTTTACAGTAGTATATTTCACTTTGTTCAGAAGTTTCTATTTCAGACCATTTTCGCTGTCCTTTGTAGTTAAATTTTTTCGAGTTTGTGTGGATTTGTAATAGCATAGGTCTTCAGTAAGTGCAATGACTGTGGCTAAAACGTTCAATTAATTGCTTAAGAGAATGCAAGAATGCGCCAAGACTTTTTTAGAAAAAATCTGTACCGATAAGTCGATAAGACCATAGCATGTATTAGTTGTTTTCTCTTAGCCACACTAACATCATTGCCTCCATTGCAATTCTCTGATTGACTGAAAATTATTTTCGCAGTGTTCAGAGAGCATTGGACAGTAGGCAATATCATATTGTTTAGTGGCCGATACGAACTATAATCTTTCACTTGCGTGATTCAGATGATTTTTCCCCATCCTCCATTCGCCTTGTCATCACGGACATTTAAGAAGCTGAGGGAGGATTTAAACTTTCATATAAAGTGTGGTGTATGTGAATAATAATAATATATTGTTCTGTAAAATTTACCTAGAACATTCTGTAAAATGAAATTTGGAACCTGCTACACCTCAGGGAAAAGTTATAAATAATTGTTATCCAATCTTTCGCAAACACAATTTCCTCTGCTTGATCTCCTGATCAGAAATGTCACGATTCAACTTAGAAATGAATAAATTATTGACATCATAAATATGAATTAAAGCAGAAATTTAAAGGAAGCTCTTGTTGGTTAAACATTGGAATAGGGAAATATGAGGTTATGAGGCCAAATTGGGGGAAATTTCTTATTTAGCTAGACATTTCGTACAATTTTTGTTCAATCCTTATTTCAACATCCCTTAGGATACTGTTTTGTTGATTTCCTTGTGCAGATATTTTCCAATGTTTGGAAGACTTCAGATTCGTTTGCCTCGCTATGAAAAGATAAATATATTGCACCTGTCGAAAACAAAAGCTACGAGAGAAAAAAAGTATTCTCCCAGCCAGTCTTCTAATTTTTTTTCTCCTTTATGATCCTTCCGAAATCGGGACTATTTCGTTAAATACAAGATGAGAGTAAACGGATATTTTTAAATACTCATACATGACCTTCAGAACGAAACGCCACAAATATAATCGTTAGAGTAAATTAATTCTTAGGTTGAAAATATCAAATGCTCAACGGATAGCCAATTCTTTCACAAACCCCTTTCAACAATGTGAGGGAAAATTAAGAACGCAAAATCAATATGCTCAATTTCTATCCCCACTGCGAGCTAATAGTAAATTAATTTGTCTATTCCATGCTTAAATATAGTAAAATATGCGAAGATTTTCTGTAGAATTTTGAAATATTTCCTTTAAGCCTAATTTTCTTTCCATTATTCAGGTGATGGGAATAAAACATAATTTCAGTCGATGCTAATAAATGCTATATTAAATTTAATTGCATTTATGGCACTTGCTACTCATGCATATTATGCGTATATAATAGCTGAGGTGGTGAGGACATAAATTAACCAAATAGCCCCCAGTTAAGTGCCCATTACTAAGCGACTTCATTTAAATTTAGCATTAAATATTTAATTCTATTGCCCTCATGATTGGCTGAAAAGTCTAAACCACCAATTAAATGTGCACCACCGAGTTTTTCGCATTATTCTCTCCTCTTCGGAAAGTACCTTAGCTGGCATTTATCTGGAGAAATATGCGAAAATTCAAACAGGGCAAACACGATCTCTTGAAAAAGGAGGTTACAAATATTTGCTTTAACACTTCTTTTTACAGGAAGGAAGGTGACCATCGGTCATTGAGGCAGCGTTTTTTCGGCAAACTGCTTCCGAAGAAAAAAGGGTATGTTACTTTTATGGGCCAATTTTTATCAGACTTGTTATAAACTTATCATTAGTGGAATTATTGATAGGTAAACCTCGGTTAGAAAGAGCTTGAGATGAAAGAGAGAAACTTCCATATTGTCTTTACCGCTCACTTTTTAATATGTTTGAACTCCAAACATGCGATTCTTTCATTACTTATCCCTATTAATTTTTTGTTTTTTTCTATCAATTACATTAGTTATGTTAGACCTATATGACAAATATGTACAATTAATTGCACAGACTCAGAGTAAGGAAGGCTGAACACTCGCTCAAAGAGATCTCATTCCAGTCATTTTATTGAATAGTCTTCCTTTATAAACATGTACTTTGGACAAAACAATAACAGGCTTTCCAGTAAGCTGGTTATATAAAAGTGGGGAGACTGCATTCTCATGTACAGTATTGGTGGAGCAGTAACTGAAAACTCTAATATACATGCAAAGAATTCTTTAGTTTCTGCCCGTGTTCTTTTATTTCGAATCGGTCCCATCTCCCAGTATCTAAACATCTGTTTCTCTCTCATTCATGTTCATTTGCCAATCTGCTTGAGAAGATTTGGAAGTTGTGAAGTTGTGATGACGCCTTTTCCATTTCCTCATGTTTAACAGGTATTGTGTATGCTTGAAAGGTAATAGTTTGAAAGGAATACTCAAAACCCCATAAGAGACTAAGACTCAAATGATTAATTTCGAATAATTTTAATTCCAATATGTCCAAAAGGTGGATTTTAATCATGAAAAGGTGTTTAATTAAAAGGGAAGCGTAGAATGGCCTGAAAAGGGGGATGGAATAGGAATTTTCGTAGAGGATCGCCTCAAATTATCCTCAGTAGTTTGTAAGTATGAAAGGCTTTCAGAATAACTTAACCTAACTCAATGATAAAGAAGAAGTGGACATATAGCGAGTATAGCCTTTATTTAAATTTTGTTCATAGCAAACATTATTAGTACTTGCATGAACATTAATGGCTGATTAGCTGAAAAGTCCTCCTCTCATCCTCCGGAATATTCGAGTGCACACGCTGCAGCTTAGTTCAATTTTGTTAGGTTTGCGTACTCCAAAATTTAGTACCAATTTTGAACTAACCTTAACTTAGACTTTCTACTATAAGCTTTATAATTAAAGGATATAGTTCAATTGCTCGAATTCTGGTATTTGTTTCTGAATGGGTTCAGGCTCTCATTGCCGGATACTTAGTGCATAGACATCTATTGAGATATTTAGAAGCCAGTACTATTTCTCATTTTGCCCGTTAATCTTGAAATAACTTGATCACGATAATTCATTTTGGCTTTTTATTTAACGTACGATTTGTTGCAGAAAATATTGCTCCGAAGTTATTTGTACGACCCACCAATCTATTAACCGCAAATAAGTTAGGAAGACTTTGAAATTGTGATAAGTTTGGGAAAATATAAGGGACATAATGTTGTGCTTGGTACGCTGAAATGTCAGCAAGTGAACAATTTGAAAAGTGAGGCAAATTGATTGGCAACGCAGGAGGTAGTTGCGTGAGTTGAATAAAACCGTGCACAAGGCTCCTCACTATAGACTTTCGAAAAGCCATGGCAGAAGGTTTTGTAAGGGAGTTTATTATTTTTGCTACTGGATAGTATTTCAAATAAATCGTTATTTGTTGTTTTTTGATCTACAAGTGGAAGGAAAATCCAAGACCGTAGTTGAACAAAAATTTACGAATCAATTGAAAATTTGTATGGAATCGCGTATTTCATATTGGTTCACTAAAATATTATCTGAGTCAATCGTTATTCCAATAATGGTGTAAAGAAACCAAAAAACCACTTAATTCATTTTATTTTAACTAAATATTTATTAATTATTCAAAAAATTTTTTATTATCCATGTTAAATCACTGATAATTCTTAGTTGATTTTTCGGCCATTGTCTTAACATGCGCTGTAATGTTAACTGATTGTTTCACTAATTCAAAGAACAACGTATTTCAGCAATAAAGAAACTCAAAATGGCACGACGCTCCCATTGACAACACTAGATGCGGAATCGGGATTATACGATAATGTTAGTGTATGTCGTGATGCTCCTGGGGGCGCAAATATGTTTTTCAACGAATATTTAAATGACGATAATAGTGAATACGCCTACGTGAATCCCAAAGGCACCATCCCAGTTTCCACTCGCCAATATCAGGAAAGATCAGCTTATGCTAATGATTTGTCTTACATTACAAATCAGTCATCTGCAAACAATATCAGCAATAATATCGACACGCAACCACAATCAGTAAATGAGTCTAAAGTTGAAGGCTCTAGAACACTAAGTACTGAGGCTACTGTTCAAGAATATCAAAATGTCTCTCCAATACGAGAAACAGCTCCACAACCCCAAAGTTCGGATATAAAGCTATTCAAACAAATGCTAGAAAATCGACTAAATTTTAGGAAACTGAGTACAAAAATCGAGAAGATGGTAGTTAAACCACAATCTTTCAGTACGGAATCGGAGGGTAGTTGTGGTGGCAGTAAGGCGGCTTTTGTTAAGAATGAAAGCAGTGTGATAGAACATTTAAGGAAGGACGATGAGAATTCTGACAGTAGAGACGAAGAGAGCCAAAGCAAAGAGGAAGATGAGAGTGAAGAATCTGGAGAAACTGAAGAGGATAGTGAAGATAGCGGTACTTCTGAAGAAGAAAGTAGCAAAAATAGCCAAAGTGATGAATCCGACAATTCTGAAAGCGAAGACGAAACAGAAGAGGAAAGCGAAAGAAGTGTAGATAATAGTGAGGAGGATGAGGACAGTTCAGAGGAAACTTATGAGGAAGATACTACTGAGGTTGAAGAAGAAAGTAGTGAAGAGGACACTAGTGATAATTCTGATGATAGTTCAGATAACTCGGACAACAATGAAGAAGAATCAGAAAGAGAAGAAACCGAAACTGAAAACTCGGAAGAAGAAGAAGAGGAGGAAGAAGAAGAAGAAGAGGAGGAAGAGGGAGATGAAGAAACAGAATCTACAGTAAGTGACGAGTAGGAAAATAAAGTAATGAGATGATGTTGTGGACAAAAAATAAGTGACTTTACTTTTAATTAAATGTACAGAAATATTTTCAAAAATTTTATGTCAATGAGACGAAGATGGAAAACATCGGATCAATGTAGTTTATTTGCGCTTTATACATTAGTAAATAAGCAATAACTCGACAGGCAAATTCTCTCGAACAAAGAATTAATAATGTAAATAGGGGCTTCCCACACTAGAAGTTAGCATTTAAAATTTTGCGAAAGGCGCATTGTGGCCATTTTTTTGCCCAAAATATATAATTGACTTCATCAAGCGTTAATTTCGAATGGAAAGGCGAATCGAATAGGACAAAGACGGTAAAAATAGAACAAGTGGTAAAAATGAAAGCATTGAATTTGATGATAAAGGGTTTTCATTGACAAACACTATCCATGAGTCGCACAGTAAATACTAAACCATTATTTAGAGAACCTGAAGACTCAAAACAGAACAAACATGCAGATATTTAAACAAAACTTATTAATCTATTTTAATCGCATATTTATGTATTCTATTTATATTTATTTCTTTCAAATGGCAGGCATTTTGATAGTTATCATTAGACCTTTAGCTGACTTCAGGCTTCACAGAGAGGAGGAGGAACATCAAAGTGACAAAAGGTCGAGAGGGGGGGGGGCAGAAGAGTGTTTCAAAGATGTGACAGAGACCGACAAAAGAACAGAGAAAAGGTAAGATGAGTACTGTAAATGGGTTGAATATGACATACAGTGGGGTGATGTTAGTTTGAAGTCAGAAGTCAACTGCCAGTTAATAGACTTTTTGTCGTATAAGTATACGTTGCCCAGGGTGCACCACGTGGAGGTAAGTCTATCGCACACCCCCGTATTCTATTTATATAAATGTCAAAATCTAGAAGACCAATGTCAAGATACTGGGAATTTTGATTTCAGATAAGCATAGGTAACATTAATTAAATCCATCTACACAAATTCAAGCGCTTTGTAAGAAAGAAGAGCAAATTCCAGAGTCGCTATATATAATACTACATTATGTACAAAAGAATGACAACGAATTCAGTTAAGAAAATAATGTAATAGAGTTATACAGGATAAGAGAAGGAGAATGACTATATAGTGGAAAATAAATGGTTTTGCGAGAGAATCGAACTATATAAATATACTACTAAAGGGGTAGACTGACTGACTGACTGACTGAGTAGAAGTCTGTCAGAAACGTCGATGAGAAAGCGACAAAGAATAGGTAAGGTAAGACTACATTTGGGCATTCATAGATAGACGCTAAACGAGTAAAGTATTAAATGATATCATGACTGTGCAATTCTTGATGAAATGATAAGTTCGAGGCCATGAAAGTGTTGAAAATGGCGCATAGTATCATTTCATGCTCAGGGTTTTGAAAGAAGCTGATATAAATTAATCGATATGAAATTTACAGTTGGTAGTAGCTTCAGCTACTATAAATTAGTAGGAATTCTATATTTCAGATTCGGAAATGGCCCAACATAAGTAATTCTTGATTATATATAACATTTTGACTAAATGCATAGACAGTCATATCCAAATAATTATGTTGTAATTGCGTAATATTTTTCATTTTCTAATATTCGTAGTCTCAAAGTATTAAATGTAAATTTATATATCAAATGGCAGGTGTTTTGTTAGTTATCATTAACCCTTAAATTGACTTCGGGCTTCACAGAAGGGTAGGAATATCAAAGTAACAGAAAGTCGAGGGGAGGGGGGGGGGCTGAAGAGCGTTTCAAAGGTGTAAAAGAGACAGACACAAAGGTAGAAAAAGGTGAGGTGAGTACTGTGTAAATAGTCGAATATGACATACAGTGGGGTGATGGTAGTTTGAAGTCAGAAATCAACAGCCGGTTTATAGACTTTTGTGCCGTATGAGTATACGTTGCCCAGGGTGCACCACGTGGAGGTAAGTCTATCACACACCCCATATTAAATGTGAATGAAAACATAAAATGGAATATCATTTCAAGGAAATAAATAATAAAAAATGATATTTCAATAGCGATTTTAAAAGAAAAGTATTAAGATGAAACTCCTTCCTAAAATTTTCACCAGTATTGGTTTCAAGATTTTGCTGTTCATGCGTCATTAACTTCTAAGCTGAGTAGTACGGAAAAAACAAAATTCTACTTCTAAATCATATATTAGAAATAATACCAACATATTCGGTGATTAATAAGATGAGATTGCATAATCACAACTGAGGAAAATAGAAGAACTGGACTACATTGACAAATTAAAATATCGCATTCATTTGGCAAAGTATTGATACTACAATTGATAGTGCTCATTACAATTGACGTAATTTCTAAGTTCCAAATTCAGGAAAGATACAGGGATTTCATTTTTAATGGGAACAATATTCCTATATGTTTGAGCAGTTACCTCTGAGCATAGTCCCAATTTTACAGAACAAGTCGATTGGAATTTTTTCAACTGACGTTGATAAATAATTTTATTCCTGAAAAAACAATGTTAGTCGAATTATGAAATGTTACAAGATTGATATAGATGGTTAAAATTCATACATATAAATACTTCAACAGTATAATAAATTGATATAAAAATGCTTTTTAGAGTAAGAAATACGGTTTTAATTTGTTTATAATTAGTGGCAACGAACTAACATAAGATCAGCAAAAATTATTCTTGCAAATATGACGATAATCAGAAAATACACGCAAATGATAAATTTGAATAATAATAATTTAATAGTTAAGGTGTGAACCATTAAACTGTAATAATATCTAGAGATTCAATATTATGTGAATCGTCAAAGTTGTTTATATCATTTTCAGAGCTGTTGCTCGAATTGAATTATCCATCAACATGAGTGGTTTGTTCATATTTTTCTATCAACAGCCTTTCCTATTTATTTTTAGATGAAGTGGGTGCTATCGTGTTGGACCTGGGGTCTCATACTTTGCGAGGGGGATTTGCTGGGGAAGATATTCCGAAGGTATTTCTTTAAATATTGAGATGCTAATAAATGTAGATTGATATGCCCAGCACCACCGGATATGTTTTTTCTAAAGACAATTCGTCTGTTACAAAACGCGTTATTGGAAATAATGTTTATGTGCCTTCTGAGGGAATGGAAATAAAGCCATTTGTCAAAGATGGTCTCAGTATGTCGTGTACCATATGTCTCATCATGGTTTAGTTGAAGATTGGGATGCATTTGAGGATGTTGTGAACTATATGATCAACTGCCTAATTCCCATTGAGAAATCTCAGCATCCTATTCTTACGTCTGAGCCCTCTTGGAATCCAAGGAACAAGCGCGAGAAATTGACCGAAATTCTCTTTGAAAAATTTGAAATTCCTGCCTTCTATTTGGCCAAAAGCGCTGCTCTCGCATGCTTTGCAAATAGTCGACATACTGGTTTGGTCTTGGATGTTGGTGCATCCTGCGCATCTGCTGTCCCGGTTTACGACGGTCGAGTTTTACTCCAAGGTGTTGTTCGCACTCCATTTGCCGGTGATTTTATCGCTCAGCAATGTGCCAAGATGGTTAAGGAGGTGCTCAAAACTGAGCCTGTTCCGTACTATAGGGTTGCATCCAAGGTTTGTATCCCGCTTTATTTTATGCTTCTTATTTCAAAATTCGATAAATTGTTTTCTTTGTTCGTTTTATTGGTTGATTTAATGATATAGGCAGGGATAACTCTTGCTTAATGCTTTTTATTGATTCGGGTTGAATGGAGGATTTCTTAGTTTTTCTTTGTAATGTTCCTGTTATTCGTTTTTATATAAAAGAAATTTGTATTCTTTCACCTTTACTACCTTTTCCAGTTTTTAAGCCCTGGGAGTAATTGTTCGGTTATGTTGCTCTCGGTTCTAGAAGCTTATCCGCCATGTTAGCTTCTACAATGAAGTTGTCCCTTCTACTAAATAATCTTTAGTAGCATTTTGCAGATAGTTTATATCCAGTGTTGCTTTCATTTGTTTTCGCTATTTACTTTCATATTTGTACGTTTGATTAATGACAATCCTTTTGCCTTTTAGGACCCAGTAAAAGACCGTGAAACTCCTCGCTGGATAGAAAAAAAGTTGCCACCTCTTACTGATTCCTACAAAGCATTTATGGAACAGGTTAGTACGGCGATAACTTAAAATTTTCTCAGTAAATTTCGGTAGGTAATAGGTGGCGTTCAAATATTATTTTGGATATTTTAAATATATTAGAACATATTTAGACCATTGTTTTCCATATCTGAAGTAAACATGTTTTCAGAACTTGATGGAAGATTTCGCGGCTACAGTGCTTCAAATATCGGATGAAAGATATGATCAAGGGTAAGTGATTTCGTCAAGGTTTCATTAATGCAAGTCGTATCAAAAATATACCATATTACCTAAAGTTTTGTTATTGTTGATTTTATTAAATTAACCCGAGCTTATCTTATTATTGTAGCCAAATGGAGACAATCCCAACGAGAACATATGAATTCCCCAATGGCTACAATGTAGAATTGGGTCATGAAAGATTCCAAATTCCAGAGGCTCTGTTCGATCCAAGTTCTGTTCCGGTAATCTAGAGTTTTCATTCGTGATTTTTTTAGCAAAGTAATGGAAGATCGGATTTGTCAATGAGCCATATTGTCTCGAGTAGTATTTCACTTTGTGATATTGATATTAGAGCGGTACTTGATTGTAATAATATCATATTTTTAGAATCTTTATAATAATATTGTCGTGGTCGGCGGAACGAGTCTAATTGTTGGCTTCACAGATCGACTCCAGAAAGATCTCGGTGCAAAGACTCCATCGGTATTTTTCTTATTTTGTGATAATCTATTCAATCTAGAGTATGCGATTGAAGGTAAATTTTCCCAGCTCTCTAACAGAAAGGAGGTTCTCGAGCTGGGTTGGTGGCTCTATTCTTGGTTCACTGGTAAGGCAGTTAATATTGTGTCCATAAATTCTTTTCTAGGGAACCTTCCAACAAATGTGGATATCAAGGCATGAATATGAAGAATTTGGAAAATCATTTATTGAAAAGAAATGCTCATAATGGGATATTTGTTGTCCATATAGTCAATAATTTAATTTGTATGTGTTTGTTTAAATCGATCAAATATATGCCTTTCGACAATAGCGCGTTGTTTGTAATTACCACCACTCGCAGTTTGGTTTACGTGACTGGGCGCTTCTTTAGGGTAAAATTTCTAGATGGTTATAGATTTTCTATGCTTTAAGTTAGTACTATTAAATTTCATAATTGGCTTTTTATTTTAAGAACACATACTCATTTATTTATTGTTCAGTCAAATTCCTGTGATTTCGCATATATACATTCATATTTACGTAAATGGAATATTCTTCTCTGTACTATATGTCATATTATTTTTTACCGATATCTGTTTTATTTATTTTCGTGTCCATCTCTCATATGTGAGATATGTCTTTTTTATGCGAATTAGCAAACCATTGGCTAATTATCAGACACCTATTTCATTTAGATTTTTCTATTGTATTACATGTAATCTTAAACCATTGCGATTTCCCCATTTTTACATTCTATTTAATCTGGTTACATGATTTCTAAATCCTATTGTATTTCTGTATTTTATTAAAATATTTTAACCCTCCTCTAAGGTTAATTTATTTGGAGTCACCTTTTCGTGTTTTCTTTGTTTTGAGCTATTAATGAAATTTAATTTCTCCTCAAATATCTGACGAAATGTAATCACGATAACATAATCAGAGTATTTTACTCACAATAGAAGGCCTTGATTATCTGAGGGAATAAAATTAATACTTACGGTTTCTTCTATATGTTCAGTTCCCACGTTACTTGATTGTTCTTTTTAAAATTGTGTTTCTAATCACATAATTCCCTTTAGCACTGAATTTCAGCGTATTGTTTACAGCTCAAGTAAGTTAAACCAACAGATTTTTTGGTTTGAAATGGGATATTTTATCTATGTATTTTCTTTCTCAGAAATTCTAAAAATTGTGTGTGCTTGCATTTTTTAAACCGCACTCTATTTTGATTGTCTTTATCTTCATATCCTTCTTAATCAATGGTTTTCTGAGCGAATTTTATCGCAAATAGTTCTAAACAGTTAGCTTATTTGTGTAATTTGTTTCAAAATGAGGTTTCATTTTACGTGTTCTGTGTATTTGATCACAATTCACTTTCTACTTTTTGTATATGCAGCCTTACAATGGCCTGTGCAACAATCATTTTTAATTTAGACATAGTTATGTTATTTCTCGTTGCTGAAGTACTATTTAAGTTTTTGCAAATTTTAGAAAATCTGTTCGAGTGGATATCAGGTTTATCGTACAGTCTGTTTGCATGCTATAGAGATTGAAACAGAAAATGGCTAAGAAAAAGAATGCTGAAAACACTACTGCGGTGGCAAAGCCCTCTTCATTTGAGGTCACTGTAGCAGATCTGCAAAAATTGATGGAAAGTCGTGGTGCTTGCAGTGTAAAATACCTCAATGAACGCTATGGTGGTATCCAAGGCCTTTGCACCAAACTCAAAACTTCTACTCATGATGGTATGCCACCTCTTTTGAGTTTTTGTTATTTTATTAACAATTTCTTAGATTAACTTGGCTGAGACTGCTCTTGTTGCTATTAATATTAAATTCCAGACTCTGCTTTTGTCTGAATTACCACCAGGATAGTCAAAATGAATCGGTTTTTTGTATAATTCCTATTTCCATTGAAAGAAGGTAATGGGAAGGCATCCTGAACAATTTTTCCATTTGGAAGCCTCCCATTCTGTTCATTTGAATAGGCAATCAATTTCGGTCATTATCGGTCTCATTATCTCCGACTTAAGAAATGAGCACATTTAATAAAGCCTCTTGTAGATCAGTCTAACTTGTTCGAGTGGTTATTATGATCCCTTGAACGTAAACTGATTCATTTTCAACTTGTGAAATAATATGAGTTAGATAAACTCTGTTTGCAGTCATACATAATTTGTCTATTTTTATTCTTAACATGAAATTATAACTAACACTTTTGGACATAAATCGTAAATGTTTTTGAATGGAGAGGGTCTTATAGCAAAATGAAATTTTTGTAGAGTTATAAGAATCTATTTATTTAGACATTCAGCCAATAAATAAGGCATAACACGTGATTCTTGTAGATTGACTGAGTGAAATAAAAGTTATTTCCCTTCGTTTTGTCTGCACTGATAAAAGTGCTTGGAATACTGACTTGACTTTGAAAAGCTAACACATCCCAAAATGATTTTATTTTTTCCCTTTAGGTTTGGCCGGTTCCGATTTCCAGGAGAGAAAAGAGGTCTTCGGAACCAACGTGATTCCCCCCAAACCGCCTAAACGTTTCTGTACATTGGTATGGGAAGCAATGCAAGATGTTACCCTCATCATCCTTATTGTCGCGGCCTTTGTATCTCTTGGTCTGTCGCTTTACACCAAATGTAAGTTTCGTATAGTTTATCAGGCTAAACAAGAAATTGAAGGTCTGCTAAGGTTAAGGTGGTAGGATGATAATGTAATCACCATTAGCACCGGTACTTCTTTTTTGGTAGTTCTCATGCTAAGATTAAAATCGCTTGCTTTTCGTTAATCATCAGTAGTTTCGGCTAGAGAGCCTAATTGCGTGTGAGTAGCATTCGGTGTTTTGTACCAGTTAATTATCCCTTTAGTTCAACACGTTAAAACGCGTCTATATTGGATGTCTTCAATTCTAGCCTACTTTGCAATCTTTTTTTCGCTTTAAGGGATATAGCCCAACCGTAGACAAGGAAGCATAATTAGATTTACGCTTTCTTCCCGAAGTATATGCAAGCGCTAATTTTGGACGTAAGAAAATTCCCTTTCTCTTCTATTTATGGGTCTTGCTATGTACCTTTCTTTCTCCCACATTCTTACGCACGTTCATTTAAAAGAGCAAAAAATTTATTCTAAAAAGCCTATATTCGCTCCTATCTCAATTAATTATCTTCAATTCAAAGAAGGGTTAGTGTAGGCTATGCATGAGTAACTTCTACTATTTTTAGCTCTTTATCGTTAACGCGCGCAGAACTGCTGATGAAAATAAAGCACCCACGTGTGTTTTGTGGTAAGAGGTGGTTAGTCAAGCGATGTATTCATATGCTGGGGATATACAGACTCATGCACCATTTTGCCAAGAACAGAAGCAGTGGATCTCTTTAAAGTATGTACACATATAACGCATGCGTGCCATGTCGCATCGTGAGTTTTGCATTAACTCTCCCAGTAGCCTTTGCGTGATGCATATGGTGGCAGCGACTGTTGTGACCGATGCTATCTCACTTTAGAAAGATGATCTGATCCAAGTGCATACAGGAGAGAGGGTGGTAGGCTTACCTCCCCCCAACTCTTACCTTTACTCCCCCTCGTCATGGCGTTTATTGATAAAAGTAGGGGTAAAATTAGTGTCTCTTCAACGTGATCTCATTAATTCATTTGGGATGAATGATAAGATTGAATATAATAGTACAGCGACCAACATGAACATCTTTAGAGTTAGACATCGTGGGTTTGATTTTGATAGCCAGGTCCACATTTCCCGTTAACTGTATAACAAACCATTCTGAGAGTGGTAGCGTCCATTTTATCATCTTTCCTCTTTATTGCACCTTACTCTTGCTTCTGAAGAAAAAATATAGGCAAATACTCGTTCGTTTAAGTCTTGAATGGTAAGTCGGGTTAGAAGTTACGGGTTTGGTGTTCTATTGATTGTATTTATTCAAAGATAATAATAATATTTGTTTGACTTATCTACTATTTGAAAGACCCTTAATGAGAAGATTCGAAGATGTGCAATATAATTCAACTTTCTACAGACCTTTGTTGCTGTCCAATCTAGAACCGATACTAATTGCTGAGGAAGAAATTTTAAATTCTCTTTTTTATCGCTTGTTATTTGGTTGTTAAATATCCTAATTGTAGAGGTTTATCTCTCTTTTTCTCGTGGTAAAATACATTTAATTAAGTGGAGACCCCAAAAGATTGTGTGAGTTCGTGTTCAAAATATTGATTGATTGAAAGCGTGTTGAGAACTTGGCCATCCCCTTTTGTGTTGTCCCTTCTTATATTGACTTAGTCTTGGTTAAATTTTCTTGTTTTTAACCACTCCAATCTTGGTCGTTTTCATTAACTCGACGCAGTGTTGAGGTTGGGTTTGAACATATGCTGTATCGTAAACAAGTCGCGTTTTACGTCGTCTAACTGCGCTATGAGATTAGGTAAGCTATTTGTCGATACCCCCCCCCCCCCCCCCTCCTCTATTGCCCTCCATTCGTTCAACATTGTCTGGGTGCATTTAGTCGACTAATGGAAGTTTGAGAACGATCATTGGCGGTGGCTGATAGTCTTTTCTTAAATTTCTTGATCTCTAGTGGACTTCATTTACTTTTTAGTTTACAAGGTAAAACTGATTCGTAATATGGATCAATATCTCAACTAGCTGCCTATATCCAAGAAGATACTTTTTTTATGAAATGGAATATGAGAACACACGCATCGCCATGAGATGCTATTTGGCATTCGCCCTTTCCTTCATACTTTCGAATTACTCGGACTTCTGTGACCTTGATCTTTTGTTTGTAAGGCAGTATTGCAATGCTTTTATGATTCACATCCACGCGTACACTTGCTCAAGTAGTTTACAAACGCCATCATATATGTACATTTAGTTCTTGGATGTGAACTAACTGCCCTTGGAATTTAAAACAAGAGTTGTTTTTCAATTACTATGCCTTCATTTCATTTTGTTTCAGAGCAAAATTCGATGGTAAATACTGCAACGGATTTAGTTGATGAGAGGATGCAAGTAGAGACATCTTTCAGTCTTGCCACCTACATGAGATACTATGATTTATCATTGAATGAAAGCTTGTTGCACACTTCCTTTCCGAGCTAGCAGTTTTCTTTACTAATGCACGTGTAGGAGTATGCGATTTTGTCATGGAGGCAGCGACATTCAATTATTAATCTTTCTATATTTTACATTCTAAAGAAGAACAGACATCTCCTTCTCTCTCTCCCTCTCTGTCCTCTTCTGTAACAACAGCAGTTGTTAATTTTTATCACAAGCCTCGACATTTTTCCAATGCGTATGCTGATTCAAGGCCTGAATTTAAAAGCAATTGTGTTCGTTTCACCTCTATACAGATTCAGAATACCTCAGATGGAGCACGTCTTGACTAGATCAGATTTCAGTACAAGAGCCAAGTTATAAGTCTATTGCAAATGTAATAGTGGAGAATTCCCCAAGACCTCAGCGATTTCAAAATCCTTGTATTTGGAAATTACGGAGTACAAGTTAGATATAAGTCTGATAGAATCCCATGGTTTGCATTTGGCATGATTCTTCTGGTATTGAAAGTCTGAAATGTTAGTACGGTATCAGGATCACTTATTAAATATACGTGCATGAGAAAGAAGTCATGTATACCTTCTATTTATGCTCTAATTCATCTACTCATCTCAAATTACCCTTCCCTACTTTTTTATTTGTGTGAGAATAACGCAATGCATGATATCCTCTATGGAGGGCACTGGCTTAGTATTGAGGTCACTACCGAACATGCTGTATGCTACCAAACGCAACAATGGGATCGTTTTTGCTCTCTTTTTCATTCTCTGATTTTGTATGCGAGATGAGGTGGTGTTTGGGCTGTTGAGGTCAAGCTCTAAAATGATTGTGTAGGGTACCAACTTGTTCCTTAATCTCAGATTCTAACAAAATAAATAATTTACGTATGTTTAGCTTAGCGCTCAGAAGCGTTCTACCGCATTTCATCATATTGAAAAAAGTTAATGTAGTAGCAGGCGACTTCCTCTACTTTGATTTTAAGCGCTGGGTTGAGCTACGAAATATTCGATTTTCGTTATTTTTCAAATACCAGTATTTTCAGTTCCTTCTCATTGCCTGAAATAACAGGTTTCGACTTTAGAGTTAGTCTTGCAATGAAATCGAAGTGTGCACCATTGGCGAAGTTTGGGACTATGGGTTGGATGCTCACCGACGCAAATTCCAGTTTTTTTATTTCTTATGGAATCTGAATGATGAAGGGTGTAAGCTATCCTTCAATGTTCATTATTCCATAGTATATTTCAATAATAATGCACATCGTCTATATTTGGTTCCATTGTAGTGGATCATTTCCTATTTACTCGCGTCCTCCGAACTGACCAGAGCAACTACGCTCAGATGAGTTAAAACTCGAGGAGTTAATTGATTTCGTGGAATTTGTACTTTTCCTGTGTTAGCTCAGCTGGTACACATTTGACACAAGCAATTCCCTTTGAAGAGTACTTTCTTTTATCCTCTTTTTAATACGGTGTGAGATGTGTACTCAATATTATGGATATTCTAAACACTCGGTTTCCTCAAACTCTAAGTCTTGAGCTCTAGCGAGTGTTGTCGCAACTTTTATTGGTAATGGGTAATCAAATCACAGAATACTTGAGTTAGGGTAAGCATCCTCTATTGATACTCATTGGCGCCACACGAACATAGGTGCACTTGACCAACATTCCAAGGATAAAAGAGCTAAAATGTGCTATACTACTACCTTCTTGTTGATCCTTTTTAATTCCTTTCGCTTTGTATTTGCCGATGTGCATCGAACCGGAACTTGAGCTACGAGCTTATTATTAGAGAACAATTGATCTTGGGGCATTGTATAGGCTTCAATTTCCCAAAAATCGTTAAAATCAGTTTGTTGAGACCTAAGCCTTTCTTGCTAAAATAAATGTAATGCAAAATGGACTACCGTTTTACTTAGTTAAATTTTGTTAAATCTTTCCTTCACTCTCTACCTCTCCATTTGCTCGCGCTGTCTACATGAGTATTTAAACCAATACAAACTTTTTAGCACAATAGTGTTAAAATGGAAATTCGTTAGCATTATTTTTTTGTGTGTCTAATTCAAATAACATGGGAGCATATATTTGGGTGCTACTAGGGCTAAAATGTCAACCGCAGAGAAATTGTTTAGAGCGTACATTTTGAAGCGAAAGGAGCAAAAAACGGGATGACCTATTTTGTGCTGCAAAGTACGGTTTCCAATGCTAGTACTACTACGACCATAAATGAATCCAGGTCATATTCCGGTCGTTCACTGTCCCCTCCTCCTTTGGTGTTTGTGATTTCAACACGGGTGGGACTGGGGAGAGGGAGAAGGAGAGAAAATTTAATTCCCCCTCCCTCTTTGCCCGCATATTTTACGTCTTCCCCTCGCCTTGTATGCATGTTTCGGGCTGCTTTAATCCATCTTTAAACCGATCAGGAATGGCATTAGGATTACTGGTCTAGCGCCAGTCTTTAGGTAACGACAGTTTGCTCACAGTGTGTCTCATGTTGTCGACTATAATGTCATCACCTACGTCAGTACCATCATCTCGAGCATCTGTGCGTGTATGCAAATCTAGGCGTCCATCCGTTTGTTAGTTCGTTCTTCAGGCAGTAGTGGCAGCGCCAGTCTTCCAGGCATATGAAGGAGGGCGGGGGTGGAGGATGGGGGGGGGGGGGGAGGATTAGGCTCTCCTGGGGCGGCTGGAGAGCTGACGTACCGACTGCCTCCTCGTGATATCGCGTGCCTTTCATTCTCTTGCCTCCCTCTCTCTGTCCTGCTCATGTTGTCGCTGCGGCCATGGGCTTCTCGATTTTTTAAATAATCATGCACAATAAAATCTCAGTAATATAACTAGTTAAACCATGCCTGCTTCTATTGTTTGATTTCTAGTTATCCCTCAGAATCCCAAATTTTGTATTTAGGCCTCTATTGGGTATGTGTGTGCGTTCCAAAAAGAAAATTCGTTTGACTGTTAAACAGAGGATGCAATTACTTGAGGAAGTATAATCTTATATGTCATTTGGCAGGCGTCAAAATCAGGCATGCAAAACTACTAATCGATATTTAAGTGCAAGTTTTTCAAACTTCACGAAAACATTAGATTCAATGTTTGCAATATTGATTGGCTAGGTTTTCGCTCAGAAATAAGGTAAAGTGTACAAATTGTTTCTAGTATTAATCGAGAATAAATCTCAGTGAGGGGGTATACATTTGTATCGATGAGTTACTTTTAATCAATTCCCTTATCTATTCGCGTTGTTGGATAAGTTGTAGGTAAATCATATGAATATGCCGATTTCAGTTTCTTCTAATATTTAATGAAGCAGCTGAAATCTATACAATTTGTTCTTTATTGCTTAACCGAATCAGGGATAAGAAGATTTTGTTAATGGGACTCTTACTATATTTGATTTGGTCTTATAATTTTTAGTTATTAATCAAATTACCGGTTCATATTCCAATAAACCACGTTTATCATTAGTCTATGGGATCACTAAACGATAGTTAACATCTATTGTTCGTTTTATCTTTTGTTTTTTTAATACATTATCAGTAAAGAATGATGACACTATCTCGGGTTTTAGCTTATTCTTGCACTCTTACACCCAAACAGAAGGAGTAGATGATATCGTCAAATACTTGATTCACTTACTTGTATTCAGATCTCTTCAGTTATTATAACTATTGACTGCATTATATTCTATTACTCTCTTTTTATTCTTGCATTCCTAACACTGCGGTAGACAGATCATCACATTTTGACGCCTTTCAAGGCCAAAGAAATTAAGAAGAGGGTGTTGGGTGGGTGGGGGGGGGGGGGGGGGGGGGAGAAGTAGCAGGGGCTGGAAATATTTTGTTTATTCTTCAAGCATTTTGCTATTTTTTCGTCTGTTGCACCTAAGTACGCACCATCGGGCATTAAGCTATGTTTAAGCACCACCCCCCTCCCACTTTCCTAGGCAATGAGGGGTTGTTCATGCACTAATAATGCGTACCGATTTGTGCTCTTCTACTACCCGCTACTGTGATTTTTTATCATTAATGGACTGAATATGCTGCTCCTATACTTCCTGTTGCGCATAATTTCTGCCATGTGCATAAGTAAACTGGTTATGCTAATGTCATCCGCTGCTCATCAACTGAAATGAGATTTAGGTGATTCATTTTTTGGCCTTTCTCGCTCTCCTCCATGAGGCCCAGAAATGGGTGAAGAATAAAGAAAATGAAAAGTTATGCGCTTCAGTTGCTACTCTCTGCTTGCTGGCCTGCCTACTGTCTGGCTACCCACCACCACCACTTCATATAGGCAATATAAGCTCCATTTAGTGAATAATTACTTCAACTTTGGTTGCTTGATTTGCTCCGCAATGCGCGAGCACAGAAGCAAGTGCGAGGTCCTTTACTCCCTCTTCTGAGGTGGAGTTTACTGTGTATAAGGTTTTCGGTTGGCTTTTCCTCTTCTTCTGTGTGTCTCAAGCAATCACATTTGCACGTCAATTGCTTTTTTCCTTACAGACGTTGACGCAACAAGCAATGACGAAACTGAAGGAGAAGCCGGTTGGATTGAAGGTGTCGCCATCTTAGTCGCTGTGGTTGTTGTGGTGCTTGTCATAGCATTTAATGACTGGTCTAAGGAGCGACAATTCCGCGGTCTGCAAAATAAGATTGAATCAGATCACAAGTTTGCTGTTATTCGGCAGGGCCAGCTGGTACAACTCCCTATTTCTGACATTCTTGTAGGTGATGTCTGTCAAATCAAATACGGTAAGTCAAATCTCACTTTATTCAATACATCGAAACGACCTGCATTCTTGCTGTCATTTAATAATTTAGACAATCCTCTATTATATATTTACATAAGCCTAAATGAAGGAAACATCATAATTCTAGGCAAATAAGGGGAAGGCTGGAGCGAATTTTTATTCAAAGTTAAGTAAACACGAGGAAAAAGTCAGTTAACTGGAGATGGGAGGGCATTATTTCTCAATCCACTCTGCTTTGGAAAAATGTTCTACAATGCCTCGGGGTGGAAAAGTACAGGAGGTGTTCCTTTGGCTTTATTGTTACCTCTGATGACAGTTGATTAATGTTTATAGATGTAATTTTTAAGGACATGCAACATAGACGAATGAGTTGTTGGAAAATGGGAGAAAAATCCAGCTTCAACGGTGATTAACCGAAAGTCAAATTAGGACAGAGATGGTCTCCTCGTTAAACAATAATTTCATGTAAAAAATGGTCATATTGCAATCATTTTCAAATTACAGAACAGTTATGCTAACTATGGGATTGTCTAGTTAAGAAATTCATTAACATTTTTTTCAAGCATTTGATGGGTTTCCAGTCCATGTCAACTTGCTTGGCAAACACGAACGCTGATTATGCATCACTGATGTCCCATAAAGAAGAGGTAATAGCTAAATCAAGTCGTAAGTATTGCTTGAGAGGGTATCTCTTGCCGATCACCAATTTATGTTCACGAAAGTTGTTTTTCCATACTTTGCGATGAAAAAAATGAATGAGTACAAAGGAACTGGTGATGTTTCAAAATAAATAAAATAAAAATCGCCATAGAAAATTGGTTGACTTCTTAAGATATGGGATTATATGTCCACCTTAAAAGTCACAGCCTAAGACTTGCTTATCAAAAGGAAGCATACCAAATTTTTATCTCCATTTTTGCTAGCTAATTCTAAACTTATATTGTTACTATATTTGGCAAGTGTTAGCGCGGCAAAAATTGAACCCAAGAATATTGTCTTGCGTGTGTGTGTGTGTGTGGGGGGGGGGAGGACGTTCTATTTGTTGGTCTGACACCTCTCCCCCTACTTACTTTAGAAAATCTCCCTTTCTCCTGTAACTTCTAACTACTGTTTCTGTTCCTAAGTTGGTAGTGGTTTGACAAGCGAATTCTCACCTACTCGTTTAACCCCCTCCCCGTCTCCCCCCCCCCGTCTCCCCCC